TTTTGTGTCGGAGCCTCTGTTGAGTTCTCATAAGCTGGGTGAGAGCCCTCCCGGGTTTGTCAACTCCCAAGTCACATGCCTGAGAGAACCCTGTTGCCTCTCATAAGGCCCAAACACCCTGCTTCCCTTCCACAGTCTTTGAGAAGGCAGGGATTAGCCCTGCACTCAGCTGTAAACCAGCACCTGTGTCTGGGTGGAGACAAACCCCCAGTTAGAACAAGGGACCACTGGGGGTGCTATGGGTAGTCACACATATCTCCCCGCAGGAACAGTTCCTAGTGCCCAGCTAAGCAGAGGGATGCTCTGTGACCCAGTCCATGCAGTCCCCAGCCCCAGACTGTTAGTCCCAGCCAGGGGCCATCCCACCACTTGCTGGTCATGGGTGCTTGGGTGCAGGGTAGGCTCGAAGGGTGAATCCCAGTCTCTGTGGTGTCCATCACCGTGCTGGTCATGACTTCTGTTCTGAGTCTAGGCTGCTCCTGCAGCCTGGCTGTGTCCATGCCCCTTACCTGATCCCTAGGCCAATCCCCTCGTGCCAGGTTCCAGCTGTGTTTGGGCCTGCTCCCTCCAGCAGCTCCAGCCAACATGTGTGTCTCTCCATTACTGAACTAGTGATGCACTGATAGTGAAATAGAGTATGTTGATAGATTCTTGACACAGAGGTAAGTTGTGCAAATCAGCTTTATCGAATGTACCAATGTGCAGGCTAGCTGTAACCTGTGCACTAGAAGAAAACTCAGCAGAAATATGACTTGCAGACTATATGGGCATGAAATGCATGACCTGGAGATTTCTGTTTTCAGTACCTGCTATCAGGTAGGGGTGGAGTTTTCTGAGAATGCACAGGAAGGAGCAGGTGAGGATGGGATAATATATCATAGGTTCTTTGCTGCCTGCTGAAATCTGTCATTCAGAAACCCTGAGTCCCTTTGTGTCCCTCTGCATTAGCAGGAACACAGCTCTTCTTCTTTTCCTCAGGATTGATCACATGCTTGTCACCCAGACACCTGGCTCTGCTCCAGGTCTATGATATCCTTAGCTGCAAGGAGTCTCTCTTTTCCAGGACAGCTAGGCATTGACTGGGTAGATTATTTTTGGTGGCTTGAAGGGGAGGCTTGTATTTCAAGGCAGGTGTTTTTTGGAGCTCATTTTCCTTGCATGCTGACCCACTGTGTGTATTCCATAGTGACTAGATTTTCAGACTGGTGCTTGACTGATGCTAAGTGATTAATGGATTTTTTAGTTTGCTGGCAGTTCTGAAAAATTTTTAAAAAAAATTCATTTTGGATCAACCCTAAAATGAAATTTTTCAGAATGTTTGGCAAAATCAAAAGTCAAAAAAATCATTTTCAGCTGAACACATTAAAATGAAGCAATTTTGAGCTTTTTTCCTTTTATCAAAAAATAAAATTAAAAGTATTTTTGAAACAAAAAGGTGAAATGTTTCACTTTTAAAATGTTGAAACAAAACACTGACTTGTTTAGATTTTTTCCTCAACAGAAACAATTTTCTGAACTCTACAAAAATTTGCAAAATATTTATATCAAAACATTTCTGCAATCTGCAATTTTTGCCAAAAAAAATGAGTCAAAAAATTTAACCCAGCTCTGCTTGTAATAAATAATGACAGCAATTGCTGGGTCTGTTAATTGACAGTGTGCTTTCTATGCTAAGAGATGTTGCAAAATCTTGGCCCCATCTAAATTCAATGGGAGTTTTGCCATTTAATTCAATGAAGCCAGGTTTTCATCCAAGCTTTTCATTCCTTATACAGCAGTCTCCCCTCCAATCCCCCACTCCTCAGCATCAGCTCTACGTTTTTTTTCCAGCTATGCCTCCAAAGTTCATTTATCTGTATGACAAGCAGCATCCACCCAAGGAAGTCATTCAGGTCATTTTCAGTAGGAACTCCTGTTTGCAAAAAGGGTGACTCGTCATGGCTAGCCTCAGTGACTGAGTTGGCTGTTAGTGGATTCAGAGAGTGCCTAGTATTTGGTAGTAAGGTGAGTACCAGGGCAAAGCTAAAAGTGGAAGGGGAAAATATTTTGCTAGTGGCTGCACAATTGTGCTATAGTTCTGTAGAAGAATCCGCAGAATGAAATGCCGGGCAGCAGAGAGCGTAGTTCATGGCTGCATGCGGTTGCAAACTAGTTCAACACATTTCTTTTCAAGGATGGCTCTGTGACCATGCTCCTCAGAACTCCCAGAGACACTGAATCTTCTTCCTGTGCAATGCCTTCCTGAGCTACTGCTTGTGCAAGCATCTCTGCACCACTCCCAATGCCAGGCTCTCCCTCAGCAGTGCAATAGAGCCCTGAATTGGTTCATTTGGATTTTAGGTTTTGGTTGCTAGGGATAGAAAAGCACAGGTTCCTGAGACCTAAAAGAAAATGCAAATTATACATTGTAAAACCATGTCACTAATGTGTATCCTGGGCTTACAGACAGGCAGGGTGAATATTAAATAAGTCATTGAAGTACTTGACACCACTGTCACCTGAATCCCATACTTAGTCCAGTAGATCAGTGGTTCTCAAACTTTTTTTTTTTTGCGGACCACTTGAAAATTGCTGAGGGTATCGGCGGACCACTTAACGATCTTTTCCAAATGTCGTTTGTACCGTTAACTAACTATTGTAAAGTGCTTTGGATAAAAGCGCTATCTTAAAAAAAATAATTAACTTTTTTTGTTCTACAAATAAAAGCACGCAACTCATATTTTAATATCAGTAGTCTTACCTTTCTAATGCGATGGATGTGCCCCCCCCCCACTGTGGCAGTCCCCGACCTGGGGCTGGGAAGGAGGACCATCTCTCCCTCACAGCTGCAGCCCTGGAGCGGGGGAAAGTCACCTCTTTCTCTGGCCGCTGCAGCCCTGCACTTCCCAAATTCCCCTCACCTACTCTTCTTACCCCACTGCCCCTTCCCACCTACTATCTATTTCCTACAAGGCCACCACCTCACCTTACATGTGCATCTTGTCCAGGGTCCAGGCACCTAATTAGTGGAGCCACATCTGTGCGACTCCACTAATTAGGTGGGTGGCCCTTCATTCTCTCGTATTCAGCCGCCCAGGTGCGCACCTTAGAGGGAACTATCCACCTGAATGGAGCTCGCGGACCACTGGTGATCTGCAGACCACAGTTTGAGAACCTCTGCAGTAGATCATGCTCAGTTCAATAGCTGTCAAGCACTGTAATCCAGCACTGCTATCGGTAAGCAAGCAAGTTCTCTTTGTCCACGTTTCAAGTGGCTTGATCAGAGGAATGGTCATGGGGATTTCCCATCACTGGCAATTTTTAAATAAAGTCTTGATGTTTCTTCTAAAAGATCTGCTCTAGGAATTATTTTGGGGAAGTTTTATGGCCTGTGTTATACAGGTGGTCAGGCGAGAGGATCATAATGGTTCCTTCCGGCCTTGGAATCTATGAATCCATGAAAGGGCTACAATGGAACTGGCCATGGCTAACTGTTTATTCCAGACTGGCCCACCCAAGGGCACACTCAAGGGCTGGAAATGCCCTAATTTCAGCGTGTGTTTCTCTCTCTCTCTCTCTCTCACACACACACACACACACAATGTTGGTTTCTGAGCATCTGTGGGTGGAATCTGTGACGGCTTTAGTGGCTTGCTCTGTACAACTGAGCAACAAATGGTTGAGTTGATTTCGGTGATTGATGATGGGAACCCTACTGTCATGACCATATATCCAAACCATATGACATCTTAAATCACTTTACAGAATGAAACGGGTCTCATTTCCTCATGTGATTTATCACTTTGAGGCTGAGCCAGGTATCTACTTAGCATGAGCCAGCTGATCCACTATGTTCTCAGCCAGTATAGCCTCAGGAGCTGTGTGCACCTTGCTGGATTTATTATTATTGGCCGAGTGGGTAGAACTCTGGATTGGAAGTCAAAGGCCTTGGGTTCTCGTCCCAGTTTGGTCACTGACTTGCTGTGTAACCTTAGGCAAACGTCTGGTTCTTCTCCCACCTTTGTCTCTCATGTCTGTTTCAATTGTAAGTGCTTTGAGACATGCACTGTCTCTTAATATCTGCTTTAAAGTGTCTAGCCCAATGGGTCCATGATCTCAACTGGGGCCTGTAGGCAAAGAAACAATAAAGTGGTGTAATGGTAGGCCACATTGTGTGAGGCATGGTTCCCACATGAGACTTTAATCAAGTGAGCTCCGCAATTATTTATGTTCCATGTAGCCACTTTCAAATGACTGCTGTTTTGGGCATAGGCCTGTTGAAAAAAGGAACACAGCAAGAATTTGTCTAATGGGGGGTGTATTTTTTTTCTTTTTTGTTTTTTTCCCCCACTCACAAATAGCTGAATAGTTTTTGCTCAAACTTTGCACAAAAAAACCTCACCTTGGGGCATAGGCTTAGCCGGGGTGACCAACCCGAGCCTAAGAAGGAGCCAGAATTTACCAATGTACATTGCCAAAGAGCCACAGTAATGCGTCAGCAGCCCCCCAGCAGCTCCCCCACCCCTGCTCCCAGCACCTCCCACCCACTAGCAGCCCCGCCAATCTGCATCTCCCCCTCCTGCCCTGCACCTCCTGTTCAGCTGTTTTGTGGCGTGCAGGAGGCTCGGAGTGGGGGGGGAGAGCAAGGGCATGGCAGGCTCAGGGGAGGAGGTGGGAAGGGATGGAGTAGGGGCAGGGCCTGTGGTAGAGCCAGGGGTTGAGCAGTGAGCACCCCCCGACACACTGGAAAGTTGGCACCTGTAGCTCCAGCCCCAGAGTCGGTGCCTATACAAGGAGCCGCATATTAAATTCTGAAGAGCTGCATGTGGCTCCAGATCCACAGGTTGGCCACCCCTGGGCTAAGCATTGGAAATTTTAGACCCCCCACCCCAAGCAGAAGATACCTGAGTGCTAGGAGTACAATGGAATCTCAGTGTTTATGAACACAAATCTTACAAACAACCAGTTGTAGCGGTTCAATACAAGACAGGACACGGCTTTAGGCAAGCAAGCAGGCTGGTCTGCTGATGGGATTTTTCCTGTCAGCTTTTCCACCTCTTTTATTTCTCTCCCCCCTGCGCATCACATACCCCATCCGACCGCAAAAGGCATCAACAAAGGAAATAATATGACTTTGATTAATATTCCTATTTACTAGCCTCTATCTACTACAATCTTTATTCTCAGGCCTTGAGTTTCGGCCGAGGAAGCTTCCCACGGCTGATGTCCTTATTTTGACTTCCCAGATGGTCCATGTTTTCATGGTCCATGTCCTTGGATAGAACAGAGCAATGTGTGCATTGCTCCTACACAACAGTCAGGGTGTGCCCTGACTGTTTCCAGGTGCATGAACGCTACATGAACCCTTCATCCCCCCTTTTGTTATTATTATGCTCGGCCATCTCATGGTAGCCATCAATTTGCTTTTGTAAGTGATTCAACTCCCAGACAGACAAGGACATAACTCGGGGAGCCTACCAGGGCGGATCTCTGCAAAGCCTTAGCAAGGAGGGAATACATTGTACACAGCAGCAGCAAAATATAAGCCCAACAATTACAAACACAGCATAACCGAAAAGTTGTCGCAGCCATCCTAGAGAGGGCAGCCATCCTGTAAGCCAATTCCAAAAGCCCTCAAACCCCAGATCTTGGCGTATGTGTGCTGTAAGATTGGCCAATTCAGCCAGTCTAGTTTCTATGGAGCGACTATTATCAGTTAAATTAAAGCAACACATGTGCTGAAACGTGGAGCAGCCTAGATGGTGTTTCAGGAGCAAAAAATCAATGGCTGCTCTGTTATCCAAAATTGCATCCCTTAATTCGTGTTGCTCTGTGTTAAGTAGGGCAATTGCCTGGGATGTTGTATTAATTGCCTTTGCCGCAAAGCATGCCAGGTTATTTAAAGTTCTGGCTGTATAAATGGCAAGCGCGGGGACCCCAACAATAGAGGCCGCTAAAGCAGTATACTCAGCATGACTAAAAAGCTCAACATCTGCAATACAATCATCTGAAAGGGGTACACTTCTTCTACTACGTTTTTGACCAGCAAAAGGCAATATAAGTGTCATTCTACTAAGACAGCAAAGGGTGCCATCACTTAAATTTGCAGGAATATAATTAAAGGTGCGTGAACCGCAGGTAAAAAACCATCCTGATGGTAGGATGATATGGCCATAATTGTATGAAACATTTATGGCGTGGGAACAACTTAAAAAGGGTTGAGAAACTTGCCGACAGCCCAAGGGCACCCTTGTACTAGTGCAGTTAACCACACGTGCACAGGTGACATTGTTGGCCCCGGCCGGGTACGGTGTGTGGAGGGATATGGCCGTGTGAGACAAAGTATAATTGGCCGGGCCCCAATTAGCCATACCAGAGTATTGGGAAGAGAGATTTGCGTAAGCAGCGAGCATCGTCTCATTCCCTATTTCTTCAGGGTGATGACATACTGGAATAAGGCATGTACCCAACAATTCTCCAGCTGCTACAGAATTAGATAAACAAAAGTGGGTAACATTTGCTATTGAAGCCAATCTTTCCCATAGGTTATATGTCATTCGGGCTCGTAACGGAGAAAGCGCTCCCGAGCCAACCCCTACAGGAAATAGCAGGCACAAAAGGCATACAATCAATACAGAATTAGCAGTAATTTGGGCAAGAATTGCCACAAACAAAGTCTCAGGAGTCTCTGGCTGTTGGTTTGCTGCCAGCCGTCGTTGAGCCGCGGCGACCAATGCTTTTACTGCTCCCCATGTCACGGCCTGGCTTGGGACACTACGCCTCTTCCGTTTCCGTCCCTTCGTTGTCGACCCAGGAGGCACCGCGCCCTCCTCCAGGGTCAGCTGAAACTCCGGTATGGGGTTCGATAGTCCCTGGTGCCATGCCATGCTGCTTCAGTGCCGGTCGCACACACCGGGCCGGAACCCACAATGGTCCTGCAGGGAGAGACACAGCAGCATATCCCCGACCCCAAGTGATTAGAGGTACTGGGCCCAGCCATTGCGGATCAGGCAGCTGACGGTAATAGACACGTGGTCTTTCCAGCACCTCGGATTTATGAAAATGCCGATCCGCGGGGGTCTGCTGATCTGCGTTTAGCGTTAAGTTATTTAAAGTGAACAAAAGGATATGCAATTGTTGCTGAATGTCTCCCAAGGTTCGGAGACGCAGCTCCCCTTGTTTTAATTGTTTGTCAAGCAAGGTTTTTAGTGTGCGATTTGCACGTTCAACAATGGCTTGGCCTGTGGAGTTATAAGGGATCCCGTGTGTGAGACGGACGTCCAATTGGACACAAAAGGCGGAAAGGGCTGTGGAGCAGTAGGCTGGGGCATTATCTGTTTTTATTTGGCTCGGGCGACCCATAACAGCAAAACAGGCTAGCAGATGGTGAATAACTTTAGGAGTGGCTTCCCCACGCTGTGGGGTTGCCCAGAGGAATCCCGAATAGGTATCAATGGAAACATGTAAAAACGAATAGGGGCGGAATTGTGGCACATGAGTAAAATCCATTTGCCACAGCTGATTTGCTGCGGTACCTCGGGAGTTAATGGCATAAGAGAAAGTAGGAGCAGCAGCAGCACAGTGGGGGCAGGAACGAACAATGGAACGTGCATGATCAGCAGGAATGTGAAACTGCCGGGCCAAAACAGAGGCAGACTGATGAAAAAAGGCATGGCTTTCAATGGGGTCAGAAAGAAGAGAATTTACCTCACCACGTAACGCGCGATCGGGGCGCGCATTGCCTTCGGTGAGTAGCCCAGGCAGAGGGGTATGACTGCGAATATGAGCAACAAAGTACGGGAAATTACGAGTGGTGATGAGATACTGTAAAGACAAAAACAGGCGAAGGAGGTCTGCATCGACCTGAGGGGTAATGAGGGCTAGGGGTAAATGATCAATTACTTGATAAACATAATGGGTGTCCACAATCAAATTAAAGGGACAATCAACAAAAAGTTGAAAGGCCAAAACAACAGCAGCCAATTCTGAGCGCTGCGCAGAACGCTGAGGCAGCGTAAAGCGAGAATGCCAACGAGGGGGGTCACCTAATTGATAGGTGACAACACCGCGACGTGGAGAGCCATCAGTAAAAAGAGTGACGGCTGAAACAATGGGTTGAGAGCGACTAAGACGATGGACAACCAGGGGCACCTGTTGGGTAATTACCAATCGGGGATCTTTAGGGGGATTATAAGAGATCTCTCCCACATAATCACAAAGAGCAACCTGCCAGGCCAAGGAGGTGTGGCACAAAGAGTCAAATTCAGTACGGGACAAGGGGAGCACAATGGCAACTAAATCAGTGCCAGTGAGTTGCACTGCACGGTGGCGGGCTTTACGAACAAGATCAGATAGGGCATCTAAATACGGGTAAATATTTCGAGGGGGGGTGGATGAAAGGTATAGCCATTCTATAATAGAGACGGCTGTGTCTGTACGGGGTACAAACAGAGCCGCAGTTGGCGTATGAGGGGTGGCAAGAAGAACCAATCGTAAGGGACGGACCTCTGGGAGTCTGTCCACAAACTGCTGACTCAATGCTGCATTGATTTGTCGAATGCAGGCAGTATGCTTTTCAGTGATGGCAATAACCGCACCCGGTGCCCGGGCTCCACGCAGGAGCTCGAACAACGGCTGCAGCATTGAAGTGGGGAGACGAAAGTAGGGCCTAATCCAATTTAAATGACCCAAAACTTGTTGTAATTTAACAAGGGTTAGGGGTTGAGGTAGAATTAATTCCGGACGAACCGGAGCAGCATAGGTTTGTAAAACCTTATGTCCGAGGTAGTGGTAGGGATAAGAGCGTTGGATTTTTTCTGGTGCCACTAATAGGCCATTTTGGCCGAGAATCTCGGACAGAGATTCAAGTTGTTCTGCCGTAACCTGAGGACCACTAAGCAAAATGTCATCCATATAATGGTAGACCTTTAGTGTGGGGTACCGGGCACGAAAAGGGGCAAGGGCCCGATCCACAAAGAGCTGACACAAGGTCGGACTATTTTGCATTCCCTGGGGCAAGACTTTCCATTGATACCTATGAGAGGGTTGTTGATTATTATATTGTGGCACCGTAAACGCGAATTTTTCGCGGTCTTGTGGGCAAAGGGGAATAGTGAAAAAACAATCCTTTAAATCTAACACACAAAGCTGATCGGTTTGAGGAATTAAATTCGGGTTCGGTAAGCCAAATTGTAAGGGGCCCATAGGTTGGATGCGTTTATTTATTTCCCTTGGATCATGTAACAGCCGCCAAGCACCCGATTTTTCCTTAATAACGAACACGGGGTGTTCCAGGGACTAGTGGAGCGTTCCAAGCGCTGTGCTTGCAAATGCTGCTGCACCAGCGACTGAAGTGCTCTCAGCTTCTCTAGAGGGAGGGGCCACTGGTCAATCCATACGGGCTCTAAGGATTGCCACACCAAGGGTAATGCTGAAGGCATGGCGGGTGCGAGAGGGTTTTGGGCCATTAGATATTAATATCGAGGGTGGTGTCCAGCTTTGTAAGCAAGTCACGGCCCCAAATATTGAGGTGGACAGGGAGCACAAAAGGACGGATTGTAGCAAGGGTATGGCCTCCCGGTTTAGAGACTGTGACCCAAGACAAACTTTGGCGCCTGGGTTTACTACCCCCAATCCCCCACAACTCCTTAGAAGGAACTGTTGGCCAACTGACCGGCCACTCCAGATCACGAATCACCGTAACGTCAGCTCCAGTGTCCACCAGCCCTGTAAAGGGAACATCATTTAAGAGAAGTGTTAACTGAGGTTTCGAGGGGCGGACCGACATTGTTAGAGCAACAAGTGGAGAGGACGTGTTGTGAGATGGTGACTGAGCCAGCACCGATCCAAAGCCGCCTCCGCCCCGGTCTCGATCCTCCGCAGCTGGCACCTGATAGGGGACTAAAATCAATTGTGCAATTGACCGTCCACACGGGAGCGACTGTGGAAGATGAGTCCACACCTGAACCTTAATAATGCCTGTGTAGTCAGCATCAATGACCCCTGGAATGACAAAAAAGCCCTGTTTCCCAGCATGTGAGCGAGGGAGAACGAGACCTACAAAGCCGGCAGGGAGAGGTCCCGTCACCTGTGTAGGTATGGCGCAAACCTCCCCTGGCAGCCGAAAGTCAGTGTCCTCCTGCATGATCAAATCAAGCCCTGCACTTCCAGCAGTCACCGCCCTCATAGAGTCTACGGATTTTAAGGCAGAGGAGCGGTTGTCTGAGTGGGAAACACCCCCGTTTGGCCCTGGGTTCGGGGGGGACCCGTCGCGCAGTTTCCCGACCCGCTACGACACTGATTAGCCCAGTGATAACCTTTCCCACACTTGGGACACTTCTTGGAGGGTCGGGCTGGTGCCTTAGATGAGCGGCACTCCCGCTGAAAATGACCCTCCTTACCACAGCGGTAACAACGCTTCCCCTCCTTCCCAGTTTTTCTGAGGGCGGCAGCCAGAACTCCAGCCTTGTGGGCTTGTGTGCCGATGTTCTGGCACGCCCGCAGCATGTCTGAGAGCTCTAAAATACCAGAGGCTTGCGCTGCCTGGAGAGTATGGCGGCAATCCTCATTTGCATTTTCAACTGCCAATTTTAACAGGAGCTCGTGAGCTGCCTCAGTGTTATCCACCTGTCGGAGGATAGCCTCATGCAATCTGTTGGTAAAATCCAAAAAGGACTCTGAGGCACCCTGACAGATACTGACAAAGCTTTTGGTAGGCTTGCCTGAATCCGGGACCTTCTTGAAAGCATGCTGGGCACAGGTGGAAATAATGGGGAAGACGGCCTGAGGGAGTTGAGACTGCATCTCAATAGTAGCAAACGGGCCCTCCCCTGCCAAATGCTCATAAATGATACCGCGCTCTCTATGTACCTGAGCTTGGCGTTCTGCCATCTGCCAATACTCACTAACCCAAATAACATACTGACTGGGTGACAACATCATGCGCAGCAGCGTTTTCCAATCCTCAGGGATTAGGGAGTACCCAGTACCTATCCCTTCAATGAGACCACGCACAAAGGTGCTAGTCAGGCCAAACTCACGAATTGCTTTCTTTACCTCTCTAACCACCGAGTATGGCAAAGTGGTCCAGGTGCCCACGGGGTTGCCCTGGTCATCATTCTGCCAGGTCACCGGGCAAACTGAGACCAGATCAGCCAGCTCCTCCGCTGTAAGATCTGAGCGAGTCTTCGCTGCATGGACCATTCGTTGCACCAGCGAAAGCCCCTGAGCAGACACGTATGACCCTCCGGGGGGAGGGTGATCACACACCGGCTCCGGTGGGGAAGGCCAGAGAGGCGGTGGTAATAGAGGCCCTGGGGGCGAAGCAGGGGGAGGGATGGTTGCAGGAGCGGACGGGGTGGCGAGATCACCAACCTCGCGAGGGAGGGTCTGTCCGAGGCGACACGCTGTATTGCGTCGCGGCAGAGGTGCCAGGCATGTAAAGCCTGCACGGGCGCCCGAGGCTCCTCGTGCAATGTCTGGCCCAACCGCTCCCAGTCCGCTAAGTTAAGGGTTCCAGCTTCAGGGTACCACGGGCACTGGGCACTCACCTCCTGTAGCAGGAGAGTGAGCTCTCTAGTGGGACAGTCATGCTGAGCCTTACGCAACAAATACTGTAGCTCACAGGGATGTTGCACTTGCAAAGCAGAGAGGGAACTTCCCATACTTACCACAATGAAAAATACTCACCGGGATCCACGAAGCGGATGAGTGACGCGTCTGAAACCCTTGCCGGGCGAGGTGAGTGCTGAGGGCCCCACGTTTGGGCGCCAGTTGTGGCGGTTCAATACAAGACAGGACACGGCTTTAGGCAAGCAAGCAGGCTGGTCTGCTGATGGGATTTTTCCTGTCAGCTTTTCCACCTCTTTTATTTCTCTCCCCCCTGCGCATCACATACCCCATCCGACCGCAAAAGGCATCAACAAAGGAAATAATATGACTTTGATTAATATTCCTATTTACTAGCCTCTATCTACTACAATCTTTATTCTCAGGCCTTGAGTTTCGGCCGAGGAAGCTTCCCACGGCTGATGTCCTTATTTTGACTTCCCAGATGGTCCATGTTTTCATGGTCCATGTCCTTGGATAGAACAGAGCAATGTGTGCATTGCTCCTACACAACAGTCAGGGTGTGCCCTGACTGTTTCCAGGTGCATGAACGCTACATGAACCCTTCAACCAGTTGTGCAAACTGTATTTCCTGATGAAAAAGAAAGAAACCACACAACCACATTGATGTTGATGAAGATCAAGTCCATGTCGCTTTACATTTTGATGCCATCAGTGTATTAAAATAGCTTTGCAGCAGTATGCCGGACAAGAAGAAAGTGATGCAGTGCATCATACTGCAACTTATGCACCTCACCTCCTGTAATTTTGAGATGTTCAATTTTATGAACATCTTGATTTTATGAACTCATCAATTCCCCCATTAGTTTGTAAAACAGGCATTCTGCTGTATTTGAAAACAGGGTTTTATAAGTGAAAATGTTTTGAAATCTCAGCAATAGCAAGCAGTAGCAACCACCTGCTATAATACCCATTTTGTAGTTCAGATATAGCGGTACAGGAAGGGTAAGTGAGAAGCCCATGGTTACAAAGAAAGACAGTGGCAAGGTCAGTAATATAACCCAGAAATCCTGATTGCCAGTCTACTGCATTGACAATTATGAGCATAAACTCTCATGTAACATATAACATGAAATAGTGAACAATATTCCCACAGCAGGTATCAGTTTGCCCCAAGGGACATTACTGCTTCAAACTTGCAATGATACACCTAACCCAAGCCTCTACAGCATCTCAGCAGCTAAAATGAGTGATCGGAGACTCTCACATTGTCAATGTGTTGTTCACATACTTTAATGAAATCTAAGAGCTGTGTATTAAGGCTTTCAGTCACCCAAAGGTGCCAAGCTGGAATAAAAGCTACAAAGCCATTTTTGTGATAGTGCTAATAAGTTACGTAGATCTGCATGTGCATATTTGTGGCTGTTGAACGTACCACAGTTAATGCCTCTGATTTGCCAAGGTGTAGGGGATAGGCTGCCTTTGTGTTACTACACACTTTGGGGTTGAAGAGGGCTTGTCTGGCAGCAGCAGCTACATGATGGGGGCCAGATCCTCAGCTGGTCTCAATCGTCCTAGCACCATTGATTTCACTAGAGCTAGGCCTGAATCCTTATATGCAATTTCAATAGAGCTCTGACAATTGACACCAGCTGAGGGTCTGGCCACTGGTCACTGGCCTAGATGTCCTTGAGGTTAAGGGTGATGCACCGGTGTAGAATCTGAACTGGGCCTGGCATCTTAAGAAGCACTGAAGCGACTGTCATCATCAGCTTCTGCAAAGCCCTTTCACAAGGTGCAGCAACATCCCCCTGCTGGCCCAGTGTAGAAGGGGGAGAACATGGCCTCACCCTGGTCCCTCTCCTCTCTGCACCCGATGGCATTTTTGCCACCAAAGACAGCACTGAAGTGCCCAGGTCTTTGCAAGCTGGGAGCATAAGAACCAAAATGCCCCTTGCACCTTGCTCAAGGGGAATGGGATGAGTCTCCCTGGGTCATCTCTCACCTCTTTGCACTCCCACACCAGAACAGACCCTTTCTGTTTTTATGTTTTAACACTAAGATCCTGAGCCTGCAAGTTGTTCCATGCAGGTGAATCGCTGATTGGCACAAGTTGCAGGATCAAGGCTGAAGTAACAGAAAAGGAAAAATAAAAGGAAGTCACAGATGTTGGCCCAATGACAAGAAATAAAGTGTGTGTATTATTATTTGTATTATTGTGGAGGTTAGAGGCCACATCTGAGATCCAGGTGCCATTGACTAGATTCCACTGTTCCTTAAGCTTTCTTCTCAGCAGCACTGGGCACACACAGTAAGGGGAAGCTGTTTTGAAACTTCTTGTTAAAATATTGCCAACACATCCTTGCTAAACTGTGGAGTGTTTTTTGTGACCTGGGAAAAAAACTGCACTGGTGCCTAGGATCCTGCTCCACCAAAGTCACTATTATTTGTGACTTAGGTCCATAGGTTAAACGCCGTGTCATCCAGAATGACTGGTCTCTGCTTGATGACATTTATTCATACTCGATTGGGAATGTTGTTCACTTAGAAAACATGACATTAGTGGTTGAATCACACAGCTCAAAGTCAAGAAATCTGGGTTCTATTTCCACTGCCCCCCTGACCTTGAGCAAATCATTTCACCTCTCTGAGCCTCTGTGTTCTGAGCTCTCAAATATGGGATTTTAATACCAACCTACATCACAGGGTTATTGTGAGGCTGACTTCATTAATTAGTGATAGGCTGAAGGTGATCTGGATGTCAACTGCCCTGAAGTTTGGTTCTGGGATTTCTATTTCACTCATGATTAGATAGAGGCCACACGGAAAATTCAGATCCAGGCCCCATTTTGGATTCACTTTCATAAGTGTTGGAATGTTTGTCTGTAGAGTGAAGGCTTGGGCATATTTCTATAAGTAATGCTTAGTTAGTAGATATTAGTGATGCAGTAGTAGTTATTAATAATGTCCTTTCATATACTCAGGTTATGTCTACACTGCAATTTGTAGGTGTGATTGCAGCATGTGTACACATACCTGAGCTGGCTGCAGTCTAACTATCAATGTTAGCTTGAGTAGCAATAGCAGTGAAGTTGTGACTGAACACAGCAGCACAGCCTGCCCCAACTCACCTGGGATGTTGGGTACCTTCCCCAGTTGCTACCATGGTGTCACTGCTATTGTTATTTGAGTTAACTTTAATCTATCTATAAATGATTGTAACATATGTAGAAATACCCAATCTAGCTAGATCAAATGGGTCATTTCTCCATGAGGTTTCTAGCCTGCCATCCATGCTCTACCAGCAAAGTGAACTCTTGAGTTCCAATCATGATTTGGAGATGTTGACTGCACTGTTATCAAATTGTCTTCAGGTTTTCCTGACCTATCTGTTTTTAAGCCCAACACCTGTTAGTATTTGCTCACTCTTAATTTTCCAGTTTACTTCCATGAATTCAAGAGTATTCCCTTTAATGAAAGATGGCACCCTATAAAATTTGTTTCACTTTTTCAAACTCAAATACCATGGCTGGACTTTTTTTAAAGGGGCTGGGTAGTTTTATGACAACTAATAATATTATAGCTCATAAACCTAAGATAATGATGGGGGCAGTCAAATGTCATTTTGGGGCATAGCCTGCAGGAATTAGGAAGGATTTTTGCCCCTGTGTACAGCATTACATAGTTAATAGGCTAAATTATGATCTTTTGTCTTAGAGCTATCAGGTATCAACCATTACCAGATGGAGCAATAGCATGTTCTGGTCCTTCAAAACAGTCAAACATCAGTTACAGCCATCAGAAAGATTATTTCCTTCATATCAAGTTTTCCTTCCAGATACATATTTCATCACAGCCTTGTATAGATTTAGCATTTTGCCAAATTTGGCAAAGGGCTCAAAATCTACCTTTCAAGTACATGCTTAAGAACAAAACTTTGTGTTCATGAACATTGAAATGACAATTGTTCCGAACATAATAGAAATAAAATTCTATTAAGAAGGTGACTGAATACGGTTGCAAATAATTTTTCCCCCTTTTTACTCAATGCTAGTGTAACCCGCACACCTTCTGGATGTGGTGTTCTGTCCATCTAGTGGCACCGAGACCACTTAGAGAGAGAGATTAATGAATTTGTTCTACAGCCTTAGCTAACAGTTATATGGCTTATATATATAAAAGTTATATAGCTCATGCAGTAGAGGCTCATGCACTAAGCGCCAGAGGCCCCAGATTCAATCCCGCCCGCCAACGACCAGGGTTTGTCAGTTTTACACTAGGACAGTGCTATCCCTTCTGCCTTGGAACATGATGTTCAGCAACACAACATTAATCACCAATGTTTTCACAATGAAGTTCTTTTAGAACTTCCCTTTGCAAGGGTTCCATTTGGTCGTTGATAGTTTCCATTGTACTGACTTTGTGGTATATTTTGAGACATCACACATAATTTCCCTCAGGATTTAGGTTCCTGTGTGGTGATCTGACCTGTCTCCAGGTTCAACAGTAAACAGGCCATAGTTCCTGTAAAAATACCAGACATTTTCTCTGACTGAATCAGATAGGTCTCAGGTGTGACGCAAATGCACATAATCTCCCTAGTTCCAACTTGTTCACACAACTGTTCACCACAAAACTTGAATCAATTTATTAAAAGCAGCTACAATTCTGAGACTAGAGCTGAATGAAGATCTTAGCAAAAGTAGCTAAGTCGGCTAACATTGTTAACCTGATTTTTTTTTTTGCAACTGTTCTTTGGTTATTTCCTACTCTTCTGTTTCCGGTGTAAGTATTGTCGTGTACATGCTCACTAGCAGAACTGTACATGGAAACGGCAAATGTTAAAGGTTAGATTGTGCCTTTAGGCACAGCCCTGCGGAAGGCCTGGTGTGAAAGTAGCATTACCCCTAGAACATGGGAATTGCCAGATTTGATTAGACCCGTGGTCTATCAAGTCCAACTGGCAACACCAGATGCTTCAGAAGAAGGTGCCAGAAATCCTGCATGTGGCCAGCGTAGGATAATCTGCCCCCACGGAGGTCTCCTCTTGATCCCTAATAGCTAGAGATTGGCTTAAATCCTGAAAGAGGAGGTGTTATGTCCCTTCCACAATGTTTGTTAGGAGTAACCCCAAGAGACATTGTGCCTCAGAGAAACCCCATTCAATTAGAATTCCTCCCCTTCTGTCTCCTCCCACCCCTGGGGTGGGGATAATAAACCATCATGGTATTCAATTTTACCACAGTATTTCCTATTCTTATATTTAAGCTATACCATAACTACAGCAATAAAATCAAAAACCTTGGCATGATACATATTTAGTGACAATCTCAGTATCTGAATTTGACCTTCAAGCTCTTTGCAGTTCACCCATCCCTAAAACCCATTGTACATTTTAGCCAAACTATTTTACATCCTGTCGCCTTTCAAAATTAAGGTAATGTTTTACCTTGGAATGCAGTAAATTAGATACAGCAATACTTCCTCATTCATATTGTGACAATAGACTAGTCCTTTGCACATTATCCTTACCACTATGCTATGTTGATAAGGGCAAATGTATTGCTTAATGCCTCTTAACAGTTGGAACTATAGTTAAACA